CAAACTTTTTCTAGAACATTGACGAACCAAACGAGGCCTAATAGCACTGGGTTGAAAAATAACACTGGTCGAATGATCCTTGCCTCCAACATCTCACTGATCAATCTTTTGATCTCATCCTTCTAGATTTGGGGATAATTGTACCGACAAACACTGATAAGTGAGGCTGCCTCCTTCAAGATGATAATATGTTTGTGTTCCTGCGGAGAAGGAAACCACTGAACTGGCTGGAACAAGTCTCGATTGCTGTAGGAGTGCCTGAGCAATGTCTGGTTCTTCTATCTTCTCTCCATTTTCTTCGCCTTTTAAACTCTACAACTTCAACAAAAATCTCATTTCTTCACCCTTTCCCTTTTTTGGAAGTTACTTCAAAATCCCCTCCATCACATCTGTAAATGTAACCGATAATGTTGAGCTAAGAGGAACTAGATTCTCCATAGGTGAGGTCATTGAATTCTTATTCACTTGAGATTGAGAAATTACAGAGACTTTGGAATCTTGTCCGGATAAGCATGATTTATTAAACAAATTCTTTTTGGCATTGATGACATTATGTCCTCAAATGCCGATTTGAGTTGACCAACTTTTTCTTTAAGATGCTCTTCCAATGCATCAACTTTCCCTGCCATCATAGGTCTAAAAAAGTGCTCTGATAACAATTTATTAGGAAGTGCTTGCAGAAATTTAGGAAAAACCTTATCTAAAATCTGATTTCAGCAATGTTAGAGAGCCAACAACAAGAAAACTAGAAATATAACACACAAGAACACATTTTATTGAATGTCTTATGATAGAAAAGACAAGATACAAATGTATCTTCAATTGGAGAGAAAGATCCGGCTCTCCCAAATCTCTAGCTGCCGGCTAGAGCCCAAACACCCAAAGAACAATCTAAATTCAGCAAACAACACATCATACCTGTAACCCTAAGAAAATCACCTACTTAAAGCAAACAATAAATAGCAAATACCCAAGCATCCCTCCCCCAATTCCCTCCTATTTCCTTAATTATTTTTCTCCCAAATCAGCCCCCAAATATACTCTCTTAAATTACGAAATATTTCCTAATTAATCCCCCAAATCAGCCCCCAAATCTATAATCTTTAGTTAGAAAATATTTTGTAATTAATCCCCTCCAAATCAGCCCCGAAATATGCTCTATTCAATTAGGAAGCCTATTTTAATTAATCTTTTTTTTATTAAGAACCTTCCTAAACAGCTCAGTCTTTATTAAAAAATTTCCAAATTTTTTGCCAATCAAATCGATCGGTCCATCAATACTCTCCTCCCAAAGTGCCACCTTGTCCTCAAGGTAGAATGAAGGAAACTGCTACTGAAGCACTTGACTAATAACACTAGAATGAAAAATGGTTTGACATTGGGTCGTATAATCCCTGTCTCTAGCATCTCCCTGATCAATCTATTAATCTCATCCTTCTCAATTTGGGGATAACAGAAGAACACTGATATGTGAAGTTACTTCCTTCTAGATGATAGCATGCTCGTGCTCCCGCGGAGGAGGCAACCTTTGAACTGGCTAGAACACCTCTCGATACTGTTATAGGAGTGGCTGAACCATATCCGGTGCTTCTATCTTCTCTCCATCTTCTCTGCTATCTAAACTTTGCAGCTCCACCACAAATCTCACTCTTTCACCCTTTTCACTCTTTCAAAGTGACTCCAAAATCAACCCCATGTCATCTGTCAACATAGATGATAATATTGAGCTGACAGGAACCAGATTCTCCATAGGTGTGGTCATTGAATTCTCGTTCACTTGAGATTTAGAAACTATAGACTTTAGAATCTTACTTGGTATAAGTAGGATTTATTAAACCAAACTTTGCATCAGATTCAACTACTCTAGCCAATTTGTTCATGCTTTGTTGACAGTTCTGCTTAACAGGAATTAAATGTCGTTGAAGTTGATAATGTCCTTTGATGTGAAGATCCAACACCTTTATCATTCCTTCTAGGTTGGAAAAATTTTCCTCCATTGATGACATTTTTTCCTCAAATGCCGATTTGACTTGGCCAACTTTTCCTTTAAGATGCTATTTCAAGGCATCAACTTTTCCTGCCGCCATTGGTCCCAAAAAGTGCTATGATACTAATTTTTTAGGAAGTGGATAAAATTTCTTCGAAATCAGCGATTGAAAATAAGAAATTAGGAAGAATAATACACCAAAATTATATTTATTGCAAGATATATGAAAGAAAATAGAAAGATACAGTTGGATCATCAATTGGAGAGGAAATCCGGCTCTCCCAACTCCCTAGCCAGCGGCTAGAGCCCTTATAACCTAAGAATTTCTAATTTCAACAAACTCAAAATATAATCATAAAATCACCCTATTGTAGCCTTAAATAGGCTCCCATAATTTCTTCCCAAATCAGCCCCCTTTTCCTAAATAATTCTCTCTCATATTTGAATTAAAATTAAATATATTGCCCTAAATAATTCCCTCCCAATTATAATAAAAATTTTCCTAATTAATTCCACTTTGATTAATAACCTCCTAAACAGCACCATCTTGATTAGGAAACTATCTAATTCCCTCCCAATCAAATCGGCTGGTCTATCACATCAATCAGTTGAGTGTACAACATTTTAGATTTATATGCGATCTTTAGCTCTAGATTTATTTAGTTGGCTATGGTCATATAATTGATACTTGTATTAAGATAATGTAAGCAAAGATGCCACCACTTTTGGCATCGCCCACCCTATCACTATCTACAATGCCAATAGGCTATCCCATGCTTGCTATTGTTCAAGCCCGAGCAAGCCTTTCCAAGCATGTTCGGACCCAATGTCATTTTTGATGTTATGAACTCACATTCTTACACTTTTAAAGCCATAACAAAGCCTTTAAGCAAATTTTGTAGATTTTTAAGTCAATATTTTAAATAAATATTCCCTTCAATGATGTTCCACCTTCTCAAAAGAGGGAAATTATTATCGAGGTGGAGTACTTTAGACCATCCAATGGAATATCCTAATTCATTATAGAAATAACCAAGAGACCCATTTCAGAAATTTACAAATTTGCTTTGTTTCTACACCTTTAAGGAGCATTCAAAAGGAGAGAGTTTTGGGACTCAGATAGTTTTAAAGCTCTACTTGCTAGCACCCAACATACATCGTCGGCCGACTTAGACACCCTCATCAACACCATCATGACTGCCATCATTCACCCCCTTCATACACTGTTGATAGATATTGGCTCCCATGAGCCTTAACTCATAACACATGCTCTAATGATCATAAAAATAATTTAATTTAATTATTATTATATTATTTTTTGGACTAATATACTTGTTACATAATTAAAACTAATAAGTGCAGGTGTACGCAAGGGGGGCTAAAATTCAAATAGAGTGTGTGAATTTGAAACCAAGATAAGCAAGAAATGAATCAAGATCTGAGGAAAGGTCAAGAAACTGAAGACTATAAGCATCAAATCTGGTTGAAGTTGATTCAAACTGTAAGGCGAATGTCAAGTCATAAATTCTATTTTTTTTCATTTTTTATTTAGCAATATTCTAGGAAAAGGAACTTTGTGAAGCAACTATCAAACACACTAGAGCGAGCAATAAAAATAATTCTAAAATTTTCCTTAAAAGAATATAGATTGATCATGAACTAACATGCCATAAGATATGCGCTTGATCCTTAGAATTAGATAAGATCAATATATATCACTTAATAAATTTATAATAATGAACTGATCATACCATACATTTTAATTGTATTGTATGTTCAGCATTAATTTTTTTTTTAATTTTAAATAAATTGAATTTAAACAATTGTTTCCTTAATTAGACGAGTTCAATGTTTGACTTAATTTAACTGTACGATTATCTACCTAAATTTACTTAATTAAAATATGGAAATTAAATTGTCAATAAATATAAATCTTATATAATTAATCATACATTATGATGTCAATCGCTTGGACAATTGAATAGTTTGCTTTTCCCAAGATTTTATATTTAATCTAATCATATTGTATAATGACCTTATTGCACTACTTATATTTTCTACTAAAGAATGTTTTAGGATTTTATTTTTGTGTGCTTTGTATATAAACGTTTCTAAAAACTCTAAAATGTGTGTTGAGACTAAAAAAAATCTGAGAAGAGTGCTTTGAGAGAGAACTTCAAGCTTTTCATTTTGAAACCCTAAATGGAAAAAATCTCTTAAGAGTGTGTGCACTCATTGCTATTTTCGCTTTTGTTCTACCTTAAATCCTCCAGTATTTCATTGTTGTTGTAGAAAATTATTGCTTCATGAAATTTTGTAAGAGATCGGAAAGATCTCAAGCTTTTTATTGTAGGAAGTTGTGGATTAACCGGGAACTAGAGTAACGATCTTATAACTTGGAGTAGAAGATGTGGGGTTTCTCTATTACTCGTTAAGGAGAGGGGCTCTCTCCTTGAGGTGGTGGAAGGAGATAGTAGTGAATCCTTCAGGTGGAAGTTTTAAGGCTTGGACATAGGTATTAGTGCAGAACCACAAAAAAATTTGTTTGTGCCGTCTTCCATTTTGCTTATTTATTTACTACTATTACTTGCTTTTCTCGATATTTTGCATTATGGATAATATGCTTGATGATATTATTAGTTTCTTTTGATCTAAAATATTTACTTTTTAGTTATGCTTGCTTCTATCATTTAAAAAATAAAATATTTTTTTTAATATTAAAATAGAAATGGAGATTTTAAAATTAAACACACTAATTCACCCTCTCCCTTTGCTGGTCACACACTTCAATTTGTATTATAGCAGGTTACTTTACAAAAGGTTTCATAACTTTAAGTAGATGCTACAGTGGCCCACACCAAAAATTGTAGAAAGCTCACTCCTTTCTCTGTTATTATTTAAGGTAAACAAATTGTAGGCTGCACTGCTTCTTTCCTTTTAAATTTCAATTTTATGTATCACCTGGAATCTTTCTCTTCTTCTCTTGGTGCTTAAATTAATTTTCTTGTTGCAGCCTATTAGATAGAAGTTGAGCACTAAGGACATAGGATTTCCACGGTATATAACTTTGATGGGTACCAATCAAACAATTACGCCTTCCAAATCAGAAAAATCATCTTCAATAGTGCAGGTAAGAATTCATATTGAAAGTGCTTTCTTATCTCGTAATAATATCTGCTTACTTTATACGATCTGTGTGAGAAAAATGCCTATTTGCTTATGACAACGATATCATAAATCTTATTGTCTTATTAAAAGTCTTCTAATGCAAGTCATACCATTTATATTACTTACGTACATGAATGCATATACAAATTGTTCAGATGATTATATGAGAATGCAAAACACATTAATGATTTTACCATGTAGTTTGTGCGAAAAATGTTGACACTTGTGTGAGAAATAGGTTGGCGGGTTGACTTTGTTACAGAACCCATTAATAATACCAAGCATTAGGAATTATTGTTGGCCACTGCATGCCTTTTATCATTGTGTTTTATTTAGGAGAACCATAATGCCATTTTAGAAACCAAATTAGAAATACCTTTTAACATTGAAGTATGTCAAACTTGACTCACGCATGGTAAAGGTCCTTTAAAGGCTTATAACGTTGCTATAAATCCCCTAAATGCATTCGTTTGCTTTATCCTGCAACAAATGAATAAAAATGACGTTTGAATAACTTTCTGGCAGCATCCACAGATACGAGAAATTGCTTTTTATTAGGCCTAAACACTGTTAACGGTTCAGCATAGATTAAAATAAACTTTTAGTGCTGATTGGTCCCACCAACTTGTTTTGAGCCCTTGATGCTATACTTTCGATATATTTTCAACTTATACATGTATCCCCATTCGCAGGAGCAACCTTCTGTTCATCCTTATCCTGATTGGGCTTCCATGCAGGTTGGGATGAGTATAACTACATGGAATGTGTTTTATATTTTTGCTAGCATAAAAATTTATTTTACTGTTGAAGCATTGCTAAAGGTCCGACTTTTAACATGAATTTACTTTAAAGGAATCTTCTATTTCTAGGCATACTATGGTTCTGGAGTTCCAATTGCAGCTCCTTATTTCAGTGCTGCAGTTGCTCCTGGTCATACTTATCCATATATGTGGAGTCCGCAGGTACTTCATTTTCTCAATGTATTTGGTAGCAACTAGCTTCATGATGTAGTTACTATAGCTTTAATGTTCAGCGATTGCTGATGGAATCTGGATGATTGATTCGTGTGCTATTTTTTTTTCTTTCCAACTAGTTTCAGAAACGTGTTCTAAAACTGCACAACCTCACCCCAAAAACACACATGTAGGGGCATAAAATATAAAATTATGGACTAAACTATTAATTCTTGGAATTTACAATTAACAGTTACGGTTGCTATAATGTATAATGTTTGCTCAGAATTTCAACCTTGAAAAACTTATTTCATTACCTTCTACTTGCAATTAAGAAATAAGCATCGTATGATGTCCTTGGCTAAATGTACCATGTTTGTACTCTTTTTTTGAAATGAAAGCCTCCATATTTTCTTTAGATATAGTTTTCCATGATCATAAAGGTTTTTTTTTTATTTGGGTACATCCAATTTCTTACATTTCTATTCGGCTTGTAATTTTCTTAAATACTTCTTAGTACATTTATTTGAGCCTTTTTTATGGCCTGTTCTCAAGTCAAAGCCGATGTTCTGCAGTGAAATTTGAGGGATATAGTGGTTATGAAGCATTCATCGTTACTTTAATGACTCATAATTTTTTACCTAAAAGAAGTCTATATATGATAGCTGTTTAAAATTTGGTTGCTGAAGAAAACCTCAAATTGTTGGAATAAAAATAATAATACTGGCAAATGATGTTGACAATGGGTTTTTTTATTTAAAAGTTGGTAATGGTGTCAATAATAATGAATCTGGTTTTATTTAAGTCTCGGTGTGGATATATTGATGACTGTTGAGCACTTCGCAGTGTATAAATTTTTGATGAGTGCAAAGTTTATTAAAAATTGGACCCAAATAGTGGAATATGGTTAACGATGATTATTTATTATTCTTTAAAATTTACAAAACTATCTTTTTGGATGGCATGGATTATTCATTTTACAGGTTAATTCCCATTCTGACATTTTGGCTTTCTCAGCCCATGTTGACACCTTTTGGGGGGCCATACACAGCAATCTGTCCTCATGGACTTTACCCACATCCTTCAGCAACCCATGTATGTTTTTACTTATTAACTTCTACATTTTCTACTGACAGTTTTTTGTAAAGTGACTCTAAAACTGGGGAGTGTGAGTATGATATTAAAAAAATTTACCATCAGAAGTTTTTCTTATAAATATTTTTTTTCAAATTTTTGAGGAGAAAGATGAAATCACAGATTTTTTTATTTTATTCAAACAAATTTCTTTATTATTGAATGGTAGTTCTTTTTTAGGACAGTCATTTACTTTATTTGCATTGACATATATCATATTAGATCTAAATTTATCTATGGATGACACCCGATCCTACTAGAAGAATAACACTGAGAAAATGACCTAAAAACTTATGTGAGAATGGAAAGAATAGTCCACTATCAAGAATCTATAGTACAAGTGCTCAAACTACCAAAGGTTCAAGATAACCAAAATATCATAAATACTTCTCTTAACCCTTTATTTATAGGGATTTGAGCACTATATAAAAGGCTACATCTATAAAGAAATAGAAAATATAATTCCTTACAAGCTCTCAATACAAACTACTCTAGAAATATCTTGCTCTCTGACTGGTTGAAGGGAGAGTAAATTTGTATGAATCTGATGGTCTGCCTTCAGGTGAGTTAAATATTGTGGAGTATTGAATGAGTATTGAGTAGGAGGGGCCTCTGGTTGGTGGATACTTTGGAATCATCAGCAACCTATGTTGGAACCTTGGATCGCCTAGAAAAAGAAGGCAAATGAGCTAGTGTTGTAGGGAAGGAAGGCCATGTTCATGGTTGAATGATAATGATATGGCAAGCTAAGAGCCCATTGAGTAAGTGCTTTTTTGTAGCAAAGGTGGCAAGTGTGAATGATGACACTCCTATGTTGATGATGGCGTACGACTTCGGTGGATAATCAGCCGTACGAGGCAAATGGTGAGTTGCCTAGTCACGAGAACTCTTGATTTGTTCCTTCAGGGGGCTATTTCCCTCTGCTTTTTCAGGTTAGTGGGATCCAACAGTCCTTAGGCAATCTCATTTGTAGGGCCCGCTATGTGCGAGTTTCTTTGTCGCGGCCTGCTGATTACCTAACTAATATCGAATAATGCATATATAAGTATATATTTACTTGTCCGATTCACTTGAACTTTTGATAGGTGGGTGATGAAAAGGATAAGTGAATTAATGATGAGTATTAAATATTGCTATCAAATTATGACTTGTTTATTGTTACCTCGATTTTTCTCAATAATGATGATGATGTGACATTAACTTTCTCTAGCCCCTATAAGTAATGATTTTGCATTGGAGATCCTTTACTTCTTTGATGATTATGAATAGGGCTATTGAGTCCTACGAGTGCTATCAAAATGAACCTTGTCGAGTTAGCCTTGTCGGGTATAGAACAATCAAATTGGGCGGCCTTTTGCCTGGGGAAAGCTAACAAGCTGTTAGGCCCGTTCACTCTGAATCGGCCCATCCATCCCAAGGGCCGGCTCACCACTACTACAGGAGGCGGAACTTGTCCGCCTCCATGGATGGTTCCCGCCTACATTGAGGGCCCCACTAGTCCAAGTGAATTCAAATTGAAGAGGAGGAGGCTAGGGCTGGGAGGGAAATTAGATTATGAAAGTTTTTCTATTAAAGAGGAAGAGATGTTTAGGGAAGGATTATGTTTTGGTTTGTTCTCAATTATGATTTCTTGGCGACTTGGGCTCTAGACTCTCTTATCTAGAGATTTGGGAGTGACGATCCTCCTCTCGAATTGAGGATCTCTTGTATCTTGTTTTTCTTATTGTTTGACTTTGATTTTCTTACCACAATATATTTTTTTGGGCTATTTTCACCCATATTTCACATTGTTCTCGTTGTTTTTCATCCATTGGACATAGGTTTGCTTGCGAACTCAAGTATTTCCTATCAAATTTGTATCAGAGAAAGTCTTGGGACCGGTGGAGGGTTGTTTTTGGCAAATTCCAGCAGTGGTTTTTGTTGCAACTCATGCCTATGAGTTTATGCTTTTGATAATAACAAATATTGTGGCTCACTTTTTGTTGTCTACTTGTATTTGAAATATATTTTTGTTTCTGTGTTTGCTAACATTTCAGGATTACAGTGCACCTTATAAGGCTCAATTTTTGACAGAATAAGTTTTATTTGTAATTTTCATTAATGTATTTTTGTTCTGTAAGGGTGTATGCTTGCTTGTAACATTGCTTATTTAATTCTGTCTTTTTAGAGTTTTCTGTTTTTTGTCACATCGTCCGGGACGATCCACAAATCGGTCTAGACGATCTGTTAAAAAGAGAAACCCTAATTAGGGCTTCCTGGTTAAGACAGCTCATTAAGCTCATCATCCTAGACAACATTCGTATCGGCCGGGATGATAGGCTCAAATCAGAAAGAATCAGTCGCCATATCTATTTAGCTATTGTTTATTTTTGGTCATCGTCCATGACATCATCCTAGACGATGCAACAATTATGCCTAAATTAATCTTGTAATTAAGGAAAGCAATTAAGGTTTGATTGCTCGATCATATCATCCTAGGCGATCGCAGGATTAGCCGTGACGATCAGTTCACAAACCTTAGTTTTCCTTGGACGATCAAACATCGGCTATCTTCTATTCAGGGCGATACTCTGGATGATTTTCATGGATTTGAACTAATCGTCCGGAACGATCGTGAGATCGACCTGGACGATCAAGCTATTTTTCCATCATCCAGACATCCATTCAGTGCTATTGTTTGGATAATATTCAACGATTTGTACTGTTCGTACAAGACGATATTTTATCGGCCTGGATGATATGAACAAAAATCTTATGATCATCCCAAATTGTCCTGACTGATTGAGCTTAATTAGCACTGATCGTACATGACGATAAAGTCGATTTGTTGCAATTAAGAGCTATTCTGAAGCTCTTCTATTTAAGACCTCTTGTTCCTTTCAAGAGAGTATCTTTTGCTGCTGTTCTGACCTGAGAGAACCAAGAGGAGAGGGAGAGCAAGGGAGAGAGAGAGAGAGGATCTTGTGAGGGGTTTCAAAAAGGTTGCTCCAAGCAAGGATCCATTGTTTTCCTTAATTCCTTGGGGGTTCTAGAGAGGTCTAGTTCAGCATCTGATCAAGATTCTCTGCCTTCTTCAGGAGGAAGCAAAAGGAGTTGGGTTCTCTGCCTGCTTCTGGAGGAAGCAAAAGGAGTTTGGTTCTCTGCCTCACTTGGGTTGGTGGAAAGCAGGTTTGTAAAGGCTTCTCCGCCTTGTTGTGGGGGCAAAAGGAGAGACACTGAGTTTAGTGCAATACTCGGAGTGTGCCTCTGAGGAGTGAACGTAAGTCGTCTTGACAAAATCACTATAAATTTATGTATTCTTTATTACTGCTTTCACATTTAATTTCCGCACTTTGATTTCTGTGCTGAATTTTGGTTTTTTTTAAGATTGTGTTTTGATCAAATTTTTTTTTAAAATACCAATTCACCCCCCTCTTGGTTAGCCTTGGGACTAGTTCATGAGGGCTTAACATCCTTGTCGAACGTTCAAGTGCCATCAGAGCACTTTCAATTTTTGGTTCGAAAATGAGGTAAGTTGCTTTTTTTGGAGACCCAAATTCAGATTTTGTGAATATACAAACTCCGGATAGTGATGGCGGCTAAGAAGGTGAATTCTTTGGAAGATAGGCTTGAAGGGGAGATGAATCAAATCAAGAAAACGATGGAGGAAAGGATTTTCTCCATGGAAGGACAAGTAGCCGATCTCCGGGATATGATGAAGAAAAATTTGGAAATCCACAGCCAAACGGTAGCTTCCACAAAAAGATGTGGAAGGGAAAAGCACGAATTCTGAAACTCGTAGAGAGGAAGATTAGGTGGAAATCATGGATGACGAAAGAAGAAGACCATATTTGGAGCCTGTCCAGTGAGAAGAAAGTGAAGGTTGATATATGGAATGCTAGGAGGGATACTATGGCCGCCGATGTGTTGATTTTGAAGAAAGAAGGGGGGAATTCGAAGGGGGTTTGGGCTATGGCAGGGCAAGGGACTAAGAAACGTAGGTAGGGCCTAGCACTTGGGAGATGGAAGGCTATGGAAGAATAAGGGGGAATGATGGCGATCAGAAGGTTAGGAAGCTGAAGATGACCATATTTGAAAGAGAGGATGCGTTTGGGTGGATTTATAAGGTGGAGAGATACTTCGCCGTCAATGGGCTAACGAAGGAGGAGAAGTTGACAGTGGCAAGATTATTCTTGGAAGGGAAGGCTTTGTTCTGGTATTAGTGGATAGACTAGAGGAGACCTATCTGGAACTGGAGGGAATTCATGGACTATATAGTAGAATGCTTCCAAACCGACCATGGAGGAGATTTTTATGAGCATTTATTTGCTCTAACATAGGAGGGATCGGTAGCAGACTACCGGAAGCGGTTTGAGAACCTAACCAGTAGGGTGGAGAGATTATTAGATACAATATTAGAGGGGAATTTCATAAAGGGGTTGAAGGTAGAGATCTGAGCAGCAGTTTTGAGCACCTAACCAGTAGATTGGAGAGATTATTAGATACAATATTGGAGGGGAATTTCATGAAGGGGTTGAAGGCAGAGATTCGAGCATCAGTGAAGGTTCTTATGCCTCGTGACTTGGGGGAGGTCATGAAGTTGACCTAGCTAGTTGAAAATCAGAGAAATCTAGAGAGTGGAGTCAGGTGTAGCAGCATAGGGGACACTTACAGGATGACGATCACCCATCTAGCACCTAAAGGTCATGCAATAGGAGGAAGTTGGGAGGCCACCAGGGAGAAGACAGTAGGAGGGAGTGGGTGAAATTTCAAGAGGTTGATAGAGAAAGAGATGCAATAGAAGAGGGATAAGGGGTTGTGCTTCAGGTGCGATAAGAAGTATACGCCAGGGCATTGGTGTAAGGACTGAATTCTTCAGGTTCTAACCGTCTGTGATGATGAGGAAGCTGAGGGAGGTGAGGAGAGGGAGCAGAAGCTGCATTTGGATCTAGTCGAGATTTTTTTGAACTCGGTGGTAGGATTTACTGTGAATCATACCATGAAGGTGAATGGGGAGATAGAGGACAGGGAGGTGGTGTTGCTGATTGATAGTGGGGCTACTCACAATTTCATTTCCACTCAGGTCGTTGATCAATTGGGAGTGAGATTTGTGGATACCGATTGTTACGGGGTGATGATGGGTATGGGGAAGGTGGAGAAAGGCCAGATGATCTACAGATGAGTGTTACTGACTATCCAGGGGATTCATGTGAGGGAAGATTTTCTTCCACTAGAGTTAGGGAGTATAGATGTCATCCTAGGGATGAGTTGTAGACTTTGGTTGACACCAAAATGAATTGGGGAGCACTTACGATAGAGTTGATGGTAGATAGAAGGAAGGTGATGATCAAGGGAGATCTAGGGCTATCCAAATATATGGTTTCTCTTAAAACTATGGTGAGGGATATATAGTTGGCAGGTGGAGGATATTTGGTGGAGTTTGACAGTTTGGAGGGAGCTAAATTGGAAGAGGGAGGGGACATACCCCTCTCCATACAATTGTTGATTCAGTAATTACAAAAGGTGTTTCAGCCACCTCAGGGATTGCCACTGTATAGGGAGCAGGAGCACACCATCATTTTGAGGGAGGGTGTGTCACCCATCAGCGTACGGCCTTATCACTGCCCTCAGTTTCAGAAATATGAAATTGAAAAGTTGATTAGAGAGATGTTATAGGCAGGAATCATCAGACCCAGCGTTAGTCCCTTCTCTAGTTTAGTTTTATTAGTGAAGAAGAAAGAGGACAGCCGGCGATTCTGTGTGGACTACAGGGCGCTCAACAAAAAAACTATACTTGACAAGTTTCTCATACCAGTTCTTAACAAGCTGTTAGATGAATTGAGTGGAATAGTGATCTTCGATAAGATAGATCTGAAATCAATATACCATCAGATCCGAATGAAGGAGGAGGATGTGCCCAAGACTGTCTTCAAAACTCATAAGTGATACTATGAGTTCATTGTGATGCCTTTTGGCCTCACCAATCCTCCAACCATTTTCCAGGCACTTTTAAAAAATATTTTCAAAGCTTATCTCAGACGATTTGTACAGGTATTCTTCGATGACATCCTCGTCTACAACAAGACAGAAGAGGAGCATTGGGAGTATTTAAAAAGGATGTTAGAGGTGCTGCACGAGTACCAGTTGAGAACCAACTTGAAGAAGTGCTGCTTCGCACAAGTCAGTGTAGAGTATTTAGGCCATGTTGTATAAAAAAAAAGATGGTAGCAGATCAGTCCAAAATTGAGGCAATGCTAGAGTGGCCAGTGCCTAAAAAATTGAAGTAGATGAGGGGATTCTTAAGACTGACAGGTTATTACAGAAGGTTTGTAAAGAGGTACAGTGTCACACCCCATTTTAACCCCCTATAATCAAAGTAGAGTGTAATAGAGAAGGAGAATCTAATCCTATCTTCTTATTTACCCCCATATTGAATATAAGAAAAAAAATAGTCTATTAAAATGATCCCAAAACAACTAATCATAACACATCAAGATATTCATAATAGAAAACATATATAATATACCTTAAATAAACATCAAATAAAATACACATCTTATAAAACAGAGCTTTACTAAAACTTTTAAAATTTACTTATGTACACTAAAGTCTTTATACAACTTACACTTGAACCTCTATGCATACCCAAAAAGTATGTACACAAAAAGAAAGATAGTCACCCCTCTTAATGCCCTACGAGATCCTTCCCTTTTCTTGCAGTACAAGTGTACAACCACTGTTAATGAGCTAGGACTCAATGAAATATACAAGCAATGTATTAGAAAATAAATAATAACATTATTACCAATTTATTTAGAATATTACTCACTAAGAATAATATGGTTAAAAC